TCTGAGCTCAGCGGATGTGGCGGACCTCATGTTAAGGCCTTCAAGGCTTAAGTGAGACCTATGTTTACGTCCACACTCTTCTAAATTAGAAAGCCCAGTGAGGTTTCCAATACATAAGAATCCTGATTATGTGGCCCTCCCAAAAATCCCCCGACATGGCTCAAATTAGGCTCTATTGCCATACTCTCACCCACCCTGTGTGGCTCTAAGTTAAAATCTACATAATTGACGTCTTCATAGGTCTGGGGGCCAGAGGGATACAGGTCTTCCAGCGTTTACGCGTCTACTGGACAGTCGGGGCGGAAGATCTTGCAAAATCCTTCCTACATCTCTCAAAAAAAGCCCAATAGTTGTATCAAGTCTAGCAAGCAATTGGGTTGCCAAGGGCCCTAAACCCTAAACTCTACACCCTAAACCTAAACTGTAAACCCTAAACTCTAAACTCTAAACCCTAGTTCCTCCGTTCCATGCTAATCACCTTTAACCAGGGATCCGACAGGCATGGCATCCCGAACCGACCATAGGCAAACAGATAGATAAGAACATCTCAGTTAAATAGGGACTTAGTGTTTGGGGTTTAGGGTGTATGGTTTAGGGTATAAGGTTTAGGGTATAAGGTTTAGGGTATAGGCTCTAGGGTATAGGGTTTAGGGAACAGAAACATCTGGGTTACTTAGGGCCTCAGGGGTTTCCTACAAATTCGGGGTGCCTGTTTGGGCTCCCTACGCTATTTTGGGGGGTGTAGCACGGGGCTCGCCAATTTAGGGAAACTACCAAACCAGCAAGTGACCCTAAACCCTAAACCAGGGTACTTTTGGCTCCTGTATCTGAATCCGAAAAACACCTTGCACGCTCGCAACGGCATCTTCTCCGCGGGTGGAAGAAAGGTATCACCAAAAACTCTCTGCACGTTGGGCTCTGAAACTGCCTTGCGTTTGAGAGGCTCAAATTATGTCACCATAACATGGAACCAGAGTAAGTAATATGGCTTCCTTGCAGCAACCTAGTTTGAGATCCTTAAGCTCCAAAGGAACCACGCTTTTTAGCGTTATCTTCCGTTTGCATTTCCATACACTTCCCCATTGTCGCAACTGCATGTAAGTTACTTCGCAGCAGCCCAGGAAACACCAACAGAAGCATTTTCTGGGACTACCTGCCCCTGATGAACACAAAAGCAGGGTAGATTAGGGTTAAGGGTTGGCAGATTCCTAGGGGGCCCCAAATAGAGTAGACCAGCCAAAACGTAAACCCAGGTAGGCAGTCTGTCCTGTCTGGGGGCCCCTGGGGATCTAGCGGACAAACACACGTGCTGTTGAAAGCGCAGGCATTGGCTTTGAGCTATATGCTGAAGTTGTTGATCGCCGCAGGCCTCACTAATAACGGCACAACTACAAAAAAGCAACACTAAACCCTGAACCCCAAGCCCTAAGCCTTAAACTCTAGAGCCCGGAAGAACAAGGCTGCGATCCCAGGTACCATTGCCAAGCTCGTGCCTTTCGTTCAGCTCCTTCCTTGCACAACGTTTGCTCGTTGCTTGTAAGGAGTGAAGGAATGGAAGCTACTTTCCCACACTATTGAGGATTATAGGAGTTCTATAGGGAATATATTGGGGTTATATGGGGATACTGGAAACTAAAATGGAAGCTACTACATTATAGGGGTTCTATAGGGGTTATATATGGGGATGATATAGGGCCTACTGTGGGCATCTATTCTTCCATGTCTACTACCACAGAGTAAGCCAAGTGGGCAGCGTGAGGACTACATGAACCACCGGTGAGTCCCCCGCCCAGCAACCACGATTGGAATGTACAATGTTCTGTATGGGGCCAGGATATGGTACCGGATATAGATGTGCAGCAATTTCCTGAGCACATTTGCAGGATTTTGAAAGGATCCTTAGTTAGGCCGAAGCATGCTATGTTAGACAGCGGGCAAGATCCAACATGTTCTCCTGATAGTGACTCTTGCTGTAGGGCAGCTGTATGGGCTATGCAAGCTGAAGCGCTGTTGGAAAGACATGAAGCAGGGGCCAAAACTCTGCAGATGTCCCGGATACCCGGAGCCTCAGTGTAATTGCAACCTAATTTATTATACTGACCCAAATACCCATTGAACCCCCATATCATACTATGGCTATAATTACAGTTACAGTTGAGCTATAAATACCATGAATCAAGTATGCGCTTCAATGTACAGTGCGCTCGTACTGCCGTACATGCCATGCCGTTCCCCTCCCTGAGGAAGGTCTGCAGCAATCCACACTTTGAACTCCCTAAACCCTGAATCCTAAACCCCGAAATCCTAAGCCTGAAACCCTAAGCCTTTCACAGCATAGACCCCCTCCCTTCTTCCAGAACCATCGCTTCCTAGAACCTGAGGTTGAGGGTTCAGGGTTTAGGGTTCAGGGGCTTCCTGAAACCCTGATGCTGCCATTGCTGATGTCGCGATTTTTGCTAGTATACCATCGGCTGCAAACGCTATGGGTACTAATCCCCTCCCCTAGCATCAAATCCTCCACCAGCTAATATCAAATACTCCCGCTGAGGTTGGTATATCATAGTATATTGCGAATATTTCATGTTGGGGCGGGGGGTGTCTAATATTCTGGGGGGGACCCTAAACCCTGAACCCTTACTAACCAAGCTCAAAACCTCCTCCTCTCCACCCAGAAGGCTACTTACAATTCAGAGCCCTGAAGCCATGGATAGCACCCGTTTAGCGGTTAGTAGGGAATAAAGGATATAGTCCCTATATAGGGTTTAGGGTTTAGGGCTTGTTTAGGGTTTAGGGTTAGAAGGGAATAAGAGAATACATTATGTTTAGGGTTTAAGGCTTAGGGTTTAGGCCTGTACATATCACCCATCACCCAAGTACAAGCCTCCCAAGTGCATTTTGTACTTATTGTTGGGTATAACTAGCCTAAACAAACGCTACCTACCCGTATAAAACCCTAGAATTCGAAAGCCCTCTCTTCGAACCCCCCAAACAACCCTATAACAAATTACATAAGCCGTTTAAGAAAACATGTATTACTCTGAAACCTCCAAGAAGGGAGCCTTAGGTCCCCCAACGGCTCCATCTGCGGCCCTAAGCCCTAAACCCTGAACCCTAAGCCCTAAACCCTCAAGCCCGTATACACTTCAAACTACTTCGGATCTTAAGCTTCCTTGATCTCAAGATTTAAATGACCCCTCGCCAAACCCTAAGTAGTGGTAGCAAACCAAACCCTAAACTCTGTCATCCACTTAAACGTAGCAAAGCTGCCAACTGTTCTTGTCCAGAGTATTTGATGTCCTGCCGTAAATCCTGTTTTGCTGTGACCATTTTGGGATCTTGAGCAAAAATCGGGGGAGTTGGTAAGCCCCAAACGCTCAAATAAGGATCCTGTTGCAGTCATGCATACCTAAATCGCTTTCACTTGGGGGCCGGGGTTATCAAAACCCTCTTGCTATCAATGAGGTGTGGACAGCGCTGCTAGTTCAGCCTGAATTCTTCAGGCCCTCCCCCTTAATAACAATCACCCCCCCCACCCCCTAATGATGTATGATGATTAGCAATATAGCACCCCTACATAATCGGGGGACTGTTTTTCTTATTTCCAAATATGAAATTAAGGTGAGTCGATTAAATGTCTTGGAGTCCCGAAGTGCCAAACGCCTCAGCCCTCCCATCTCTTAGACCAGATATGCATCACCGATGGTTGGTTAGGGTTTCAGGTTTTAAGGTTTTAGGGTTCAGAGTCTAGGGCTGGTGGTCAGTAGGGAATAAGGACTAGATTCTATAGGGGATAATATGGGGATTATATTCCCCAGCTCCCTTCAAACCACCAGTAAGTAGTATCTCGTCCATTTTTAGCGAGAGGGAAGGGGGCTTAGCACTCGGGGGGGGGGTCATCATCTCAACTACCCAAACCCCTGGAAGGATCTAGAAAGTAGAACCCCCATTATGGTACCCTATACTACTTTCTAGGAACCCTTCAGGGGGATCTACCTTCTAGATCCTCCCAGGGATTTGGGAAAGGGTATCCTTGGTGTTCGGCTGGCGGGAAAGCCCATACTCTCCTTCGTCCAGAGCGGTGTGTGTGTGCTCCAGCCAACGAAGCCCCTAAAACCCCTAAACCCTATACCCCTATACCCCTGAACCCTAGAAACCCTAAACCCCTAAACCCTAAACCCTGGAGTTTCTGGCCGTGGCTCACAGAGCACCAGGCCTGAACACGTCTTCTATGCCCGTCTCCTACTTGCTACTTGCTACATCGGGCGGCTTAGGGTTTAGGATTCGAGGTTTAGGGGAAGCTTTCCCACATCTCTCTCTCGCCCTGGTAGCAATACGTAGACTTTGTTATCTCATCGGCAAAGTGTAGATTTACTCCATCTACTCAGCACTGTCTTGTCCGCCTTTTTTTTAAGAACTTGAATTTTACCACGCCTAAACCCAAAACCCTAAACCCTTGTTGTTGCAAATTGGACTAGAAAGCTCAGATAGCAGCGGCTGTTCAGGCTCATGATGCGCTGCGAAGCTCCACACCACACCCTCCTCCACACCCTCAGATTCCTGGTGTAAACCTGACTGCCCATATATGGGTAATTCCCAAAATTTAGGTCCCATTTCGGAACCCCCTAAATACTTGGTGCCGTACTATAGTACATAACCAAAAACGGCCCACAATTTTGAGAGAAAAACATATGACCCTGTGGGTAACCCCTTCTCAGAGTCCCAGGGCAGAATCTACAAAGCCTGTTCTTACTAGAAGGGCTCCCCCGAAGTCCCGAGCCCTAAAACCCAAACCCCAGTTGAGTAGTTGGTGGTTGAGCCGAGTTATTGCACATACATATTTCTGTATACCTTTCTATTTAAAAGTACACACGCATGAACATAATCTTACTCAAGAAGTTACTTGGAGGGTAAGGGGGGTCTTAATAAGTCCCAGCACGCCCTAAACCCTACATTCGAAACCCTGAACCCATCAACCTCTACCCAGGAGGAAAGGCCGAGTCCTGCGACTAATTGGTCAAGGCATCCAGACCAACCTGGTGTCCAACCTCGGCAGCGTCGCCACGCTTCAGAGCTTCAGGCTTAATGTAGAATGCCTGAATGATTTAGGGTCTATAGAGGGCTTTGGGTTTACGGTTTAGGGTGGTCCCAGATTCCGTATTTTATAACGGTATGAAGGTACCTCATATATACCTCAAAATGACGTTGGTGATCATTTCGGCCCCTATATTTGAACGTCTCGGATGGAGGGTCTGAGCGTTGGGGCCTTAGAATGCTGGTTGCACATGGGCACGGCATTAAAAACCTGCAATTATGTACTGCTTACTGCGTTGTAGTAAAAAAACACGGAGAGACCCTAAACCCCTAACACAAAACCCTAGAATCCTAAACCTCCATACATATCAAAATCCAAAGGTTGACATGTTATCTCGGACATGGGCCCCTTCG